ACCCCCCACACTGCGGCAGGCAGTTCATATGACTCTCTGACCAACGTGGTTACCCAAAATATGAGATATCAAAATTCAACACACCCTCACAGGGCGCCGTATCAACCGCCTGCCAATAACTAGGACCTAGGATTGGTGGCTGATATCTTCAATGACTCGTATGGATGGTGGATATCATATCTATATCAATAAGATTTAACAAGTCTATAATATAGTTCTTGGGGGTTCTCAAGCAACTTTTGTGAGGCCACCACTGGGCACTGGGCAATGGGAATCAACGAGCTCCTCTGACACGTGCAACGGGCTCAAATGCTTGGCGCAGGCCTCTTTTGCCTCACTTCTCTCTTTCCTGAAGGTGAAATCGGATCCATACTTCGCTAAGCGAGGAAGCTCGGACAAAGTCCTGTGGAAACAAAGGTACCATATCTTTGCCATAGTTAAACATCATGTTTATATATTTATATGCGCCCTTTCCGAAAGCTGGGGTTTAGCAATCCAGGCTTGACACTGCCCATGAAGTGCTCCTTTCGAAGCCGCACATTTATCTTCTACAAGGTGGGGTCCCAAGTTAGTTGATTTATAAATCCACATCGCCCCTCTAACTGTTACTCCCATTAACTGTTGTTGTAGTTGTCATAAACATCCATAAACCATAGTTAGTGAGTGGAACTATGTGCACCAACTTAGCCATCGTGTAAGGGCCCGGCCTTCACAAATCAAGTCGAAAGTCCAAACATCTACAATCCGTGATGCGAAGGCCTGTGAACCGGGAACATCATTGATTTGATGTTCAAACCAGAGCGAACCATCATTGATTTGAATCGCATTTTCAACCCATCACAAGCAATGTAAGTTGAAATCGTTAGTCCACTTTTCAAGGATGGGACCGCATTAGCGAACATCTACAGGGACCCGACAATGAACAATGTCATTTCTAAGTCACTCCTTTTGCTTTCCCCGCTTGTGAACGCAACATCAAGAAGTCATGCCCAATTCATGCCTTTTGGGTTTCCCCCATTGCGAACGCAAGTGTCAAAACCACCCTTTCCAAATCGGAACCTTTCACTTCTGCTTTTCTTTTCCTCCCTGCCCTTGCGACACAATGTTTTTTCTTTGCCCGCTTTCTTCCACAAACAGGTTTACCTGTATGGGGTTCTTGCTCCTTTGAAAGGGTTGCATTCCTGGGCCGCAGGATTTTGATTCTGTTTCAAGGTTTCCGCTCCTGGTATGCTCTCCGACTACGGTCTGGTTGCTCTGGGCCGCCTGGTTATTTACTTGTCTCCCACTTGTTTCTCGCTTGTCTCCCACGAGCCTCCTACTCGCCTGCATGTCGCATGATGTGCCTGATGTGTCTGATGGCGGTGTAGGTACAGGCGTGGCCAGGGAATCTAAGCCTGGAAAAAATGAGATCAAAAACGAGATCAAAACGAAATGCAAACGAGATCCGAGCTCTGGCAGGAGCAAACTCCCGCACAGTAAAATCGGAAGGTTGAATCACATGAAGGAGACGGCTACAGTAGCAGTCCAGCAGCGGGCTAGTAGAAGTGCCGCAACAGTGCCGCAAGAACCGATCGGACTTAGCTATACAGTAGCTGGCAAGTACGGTATGACCAAGGTCATCATTAGCCTGCCCGTAAATCACTGACAATCTCACATGCAATCTCACAACTGGCATTCATGCACTTCTACGCACTGCCTAACTATCTCGTGCCTGCTGCCATAATGCTCGCAGCAAGGGCGACGCAACCGTTAGGGCTGGCTCTCATGCATGCTGGCAGAAGAGAAAGGAGGAAGAAGTAAGAGGAAGAAAGAAGAAGGAAGAAGAAGAAGGAAGAAGAATAAGAAGGAGGAGGAGGAGCCGCAGCTTTCCCCCAATGAAACTCCCCATGAACAAACTACTGTTTTCTCAAATATTGTTTCCAACAAAAAGCCGTGAAGCCTAAAACGCAATGGATTTGCCAGCAAAAGTGATCAGTAATTAGCTAGCTAAACCATGAATATATCTCGACTACGGTTCTTTTTCCCCAAGTAACTCCGGCTAGGCACGCCTTTTTGGAAATCGTCCCCACAGCGTAATAAAGAAGGATTTTTATGCAACAGGCAAGCCTTTCACCACCTACTGTAGCAGCGCTTTAGCAAGACGATAGCAGCAGTCCAGCAGCAGAACAGCAGTAGTCCAGAAGCAATCCAGCAGCAGTTTGGCAGTAGCCAGCGGTAGCAGCTGAGCAGCAGCCAACAATTGAGCAGCAGTTTAACTTAACAGTAGTTGCTAAATGGAATTCTGAACATGCAAAAAGTCACTGATAAGAAAGCAGCAATAAACTCAGTTTCCCCCCAACTGAACGCAACAAAAACTACATATACCCTCAACATAAGTAGATACCTAAACCCAACCTGAAAGCAAGAAAAAACACAAAACAGTCAAAAACACGGTTAAACTGAGATCACGAGAGTTTCCTTGTGTTTTGCAAAAAGGCACGACTTCCAGGGAAAGTTTCGCCGCAACTAAATTTGTTCATTTCTTTGAAAAAGGCACGCCTTTATCTTTTGGCTGATGTGATCTCTGCACATTCTCTGCGCCATTTTTTTTGTTATCAGCACCCCAGACTGCCGAATATTCTCCAAGGCCCTCAGCCCAATGTGAGTTTTCAACCATGATTAACTTTGAAAACACAAAATCCAATCCAAAGTCCCATGGCTGTTGGTTATATCCCCATATTTGTTAAACATGTAACTCCGATTTGTGTACATCATGCAGCCTTGATTGGTGGTTATAAGTCCCCAATCTACCGCAACCCCCATGGTGTGTTATACAATGTTATACAGCCCCCCAAAGGCAAACCAGCCCCGTGGGGCATCACAATAATCATCATCTCAAGGGTAAACTAACAGCTTGATATGAAAGCTATGGGCCTTTTAGGTCGATGAGTTACATGCACTGGAAAATGGTGAATTCCCACGGGTACGTTGCAAAAGGATATGCTCGATTTCATAATTCCCTTTTCTGCAGGATTGTCATTGTGTGTGTCGATCACTAGGTATGATTCTTATCTCTGGTTTCTCTGGAAATGATCAACGTTCCTGGTTGATTTTACATATCTATCTCTCTTTGTTTTGTTTTGTTTTGTTTTGTTTTGTTTTCTCTCTCTCTCTTTCTCTCTCTCTCTCTCTGTCTCTCTCTCTTTCCCAACTTAATTGGGGTTGATTTGTTTTTGGGCTTACCTCATTCTACATACGGTTGTCTTACACATGACCAATGTTGGAGACGTTGCATTCTGTTTGGTTGGACCATATGACGAAACAATAACGACACAGAACAAAATATTAACCTGCATACCATGTTCTTCATATGTGCTATTAATTCATGTTTCAGATGGTGCGCATTGACTATAGTAGCCTGAGCTAGTGTGCAAATCCTATGTTTTTCCTCAGTACACCACCAACCATTGGCAGCCGCAAATCACCACCAAGTCTCCCATCGCAGACTTGAAGCAAATTCCTTGGATTTGTTCAATGCAGTCCAAGACCACCAAAAAAAGACAGTAGATTTCGCAATTGTCGGGTTGATGCAATTGTTGGATTAATCAATGATATACCGATATACCCTCTTCTTTCATGATTTGCCACGCGAAATCACCATCTTTAATAGCTAAATCATCTACTTTCATGGATAAATGTCCATGGTGAACTCTTAATTTGCCAGCATCCAACGAAGAAAAGGCACTCAGCAACTCCAAGCCTCAAGCCGGTCAAGCCGTTCAAGCCGGCCTGCTTCAAAATGAAGGAAGCAAACTTCACGTCAGTATGACGGAGGAAGAAGGATGCCTTGTCGGAACCTCCCAGGGCCTTAGAGTGGACGCCGCCCAATAGAAATGTGGTGGGGAAACCCCAATGCCATAAACCTACCATGTGGGAATGCTGTATACAACCCCTTTATTGTGATTTAGGGGATTATGATTGGGTTCACATTCTCAGCAATGTCCATATACTTTTACTTGCTTTCGGCAGTTTTAGAATGTTGAAAGTTTTGTTTGGGAACGGTGATAAGGGAATATGAATCTATTGGTAAGAAAAACCATCGTGGGTTCGTGGGGAATCCTCCTCTCGAAAAAAATCATCGCCCCACTGGAGATAATTGGCCTTGTTATGCCTGCTGATGTGAATCATGTTGTGTTCCCTGGACAGCGTAAACTTCCTCAAAGATTCAAAAACATCATTGCCTCGTCAATACATGATTCACATTGGGGAAATTTTGAAAGGCATCTGGTTACTTGTCTGGGTGCACTCCATGGGCATTCTTAATGATCGACGTCATCAGTGAGCATGGCTCTGTTCCTGCTGTGTTTGATGTAGGTCAGAGCTTTGGGTTGTTAACTGAAAGGTTCAAGTGCTATTGGAAGATATTGGAAGCATTTCTTGTGACCAGTTTTCCCAACACTTGAAGATGACTACAACAGGGCCAACCACTGCACGCGCTTTGGCCTGTCTACATTGTCAGCCTTTCCTTTGCACTTGAAACTTCGAAACCCAAAGCACCATGGTCAATTTTGATTCAAGCTTCTCTTTATTGCAATAAGGAATCTACTGGCTTCCGGAATTGTAGATCCCACTGGAACCCTGATTGGAATCTGGTTTGATATCCTGTGAAATGTTCTGCCATCCAATGCATGTCTCTTAGAGTTCCTTATTGCCATCGGCTTCGAGATGCTTGCCTGCAAGGTATACAAGACGGGGCCAAGAATTGTTTTTTATTTATTAAGGCGTTTAATTTATTATTAGGGGAAAAACGTCGAAATCCATTTTTTGGCAATATTTTAAAATAGAATAACTGAAATTCAACCGATATTGAAAGAGAATAGTTTTTTATTTTAAGGTTTTTTCTTCAGTATGAGGGGGAAAACTTCACGGCCCAATACTTTTGTTCCCCCCAATAATAAACTCCTCCAGATGTTTATTGTGTGGGTGGAGGGTTTAGTCATAGGGGGGAAGGGATTACCCACTTAATCATTCTTAATCCCACTTATATCTAGGAGCAATGGTCCTTTGCAGATTAAAACCATTGACTTTGCTGACGCAAGCCGGGGTTCTGCCCATTGGTCTGGGATAAAATGGTCATTCTCCGAATGTTTGCCCGGTGCGATCTGGCCGACAACCCACTTGAGGTCTGCCGGACGCTGCATGTAGACACGCGTGCTGATTTGGTCACCGATGCGGCAGTTGAATTTCATGTCGGTGACCAGAGCATGGTCGATGTGGTTCCCTTGTTGTGTGTGCATGAAGAGTTTCACGTGGGAAATCCGCCGGTCATAGCCTTTTGAATGCTTCCTTGGCCTGTCAAGGACGTTGGAGAGCTTGACAAAGGTCACGCCACTCCTGGGTGCCAATGGCAGCATGCACCAGAAAATGAGATGATATCTAGTTATCAAAGTAATGCATTTGGATTATCATCCCAACGTACGTTTAAAAGAACTGAAACACTACAATGAAGCAACGGCCTTGATGAAAGAAACAATAATAACATATGTGTTGTATATCAATGTATATTTATATATACACATATACATATACATACCAGTAGTACCGCACAAGGCGGTGGCGGAAGTTTCAAAAATAGGGAACCTATAGGGGAGGTTGGTTGTTGTGAATCACGGATGGCAGAGCGAATCCACTGATGGACTGAAAGGTGGTTGGAGTTGTGTTTTTTGGAGCGGTTACAATGGTTGCAGTGGTACCTGGTCGGTCACCTCACCCACAACTGCTGGATGTAGTGTGGTGTAGCGCAGCTGTAATTGTAGTTGTAGCGTAGTGCTGTTGTAGCTGTGGTGTAGTGTAATTAGTATAGTGTAGTTGCAGTTGCATTTGTGGTGGTGCAATGAGTGCAGTGTAATGTACTGTAAGGTAGTGTAGTGTAGCGTAATGTAATTAGTGTAGCGTAATGTAAATGTAATGAAATTGCTGTAGTTGTAGTTGTGGTTGTAGCTGTAGCTGTTGTGTATTGTACCGCGTGTCGTGTAGTGCAGTGTAGTGTCGTGTAATTGAACGTAGTGTAGTGTAGCGAAGTGCAGTGTAGTGCAATTAGTGTAGTGTAGTGTAGTGTAATGTAGTGTCGTTGTAGTTGTAGTTGTAGCTGTAGTTGTAGCAGTAGTTGTAGTTGTAATTAGTGTAGTCTAGTGTAGTCTAGTGTAGTGTAAAGTAGTGTAGCGTATTGTAGTGTAATTCGAAGTAATTAATCCCTTCCTCCTAATGCTAAACGTCCCCCAAATACTAAAAACAGGCGTCCATCTCCAATTTCAGAAAATTTCAAATTGACCAATTTGATTTTTAATTGATTCCCTTTAGAAAACAATTTAAAAATCAACCTACCATTTGTAGGTTTTCCCCCCTAATTGATCCCCTTTAGAAAACAATTTAAAAATCAACCTACCATTTGTAGGTTTTCCCCCCTAGTACTAAAAACTAGTTCACCCCAGGGTGTTTATTAGTAGGGTCCGTCCGATTTTTTGTTTTTTTAAATAGAAGTTTTTAATTTAGTATTAAGGGGAAGCTTCGAAATCCAATTTTTGGCAATATTTTAATCGCGTTATACAAAGAAATTCAATTGATTTTGAGATCGGAAAAATTAGTTTTTATGATAAAGGGGTTTTAATTTAATATTAGGGGGAAGCTTCGAAATCCAATTTTTGGCAATATTTCAATTGCGTTATAAAAAGAAATTTAATTGGTTTTGAAATCGGAAAAATCGTTATTATGCTAGTCCAATTGCAACTAGGTCCTTTCCAATTTGGAACCAGGGCTCAGGTGTGAGGCTGAACATCCCACGAGTTGAGTTCACAATTCAAAACGAGCAGATCGCATGTTCTGAAGTACGCTATCTTGAACCTATTTTTGTGCAGGGATTACGTTGGCAGTTCTTCAGCTATCAGCCTCCCTTCATAGGAGGGAAGACTTGCTTGGACTCCGCATAGGAGTTTGCATATAACATTCAAGTACAAATATATTATAATGTATTTATACATATAATTCATACTTGTACACTTGTACATGTACATTTTCAAAAGATGCCCTTGGAACCAGCCAAAAATTGTGTTTGATGCAATCCGCAGAGCTGCTGCCAAGGCTGCTGAAGTAAAAACACATGATCCGACTATATACTGGAAGAAACAATTTGATACAAAAACGTGTCTTCGCGTGGGACCACATGTACACTCATGTACACCCAACGAGAAAGTTCACAACACGTGCGCTTCCATTTGACGGCAAAACCCGAGATCAGGCATTTTTTGCCAGCAAACCTTTCCTTGCACAGTGCCACGGCAGCCCAGTGCGTGAGAATAACGCTTGTGAAACTTAGGCGCCCAGTAAAGTCGCAACTCACAATGAAAGGTACTTGTTCGAAACAAAATCCTGCTGTTCGTTGCAGGCGCGTAAGCCATTGGTGCTACTAGAACTTTTCAATTAAGGCAAATAACCACGCGTTGCTGGCTCGAGCCTAATGTATTTCAAAATCACACGAGGTTATCGGCAATTTAGATTCGCAAGATGTTCTTGGCAGTTTTTCCTTTTTATGGATTTAAACTGGCAAGTACACACCCAATTTTAAGTTGGTACTTTCTTTTCCAATTTCAATGGTTTGAAAAGCACAGGAACTGACAAACTTGTAACAACATTTAAGCGGTTATCCAACACACGAGACATTTCGAAGAAGTTGGCAACAACCGCGACTAAAAGAGCATGTTTCCAGGGGGGCCAAGTTGCGCTTAAGGTAGTTATGTGTGTTGGCCGGTAAGCACGCAAGCTTAAGGAATCACTGGTGGTAATGTACGGCCCAAGCCAATAAACCCAGCATCTTCAAGGATACATGGAGGAGTGTCGAAGCTAAAGCGCACTCCCAAAGCACACACCCCACAGCGCGCCCTGAAAGCACAGCCCCTAAAGAACACCCCAAATCACAACGCAACAGTCAATCACGCTTCGACCCCTCCGTTGAGCACCTGGATCGCGATTGGGTTTCCAGAAACCCAATCACAATTCAATGGGTTTTGAGCGAACCCATCATCCTCATACTCTTTGTGCCCAAGGTGAGAAAGGATTGCTAGCCCTTGAAACATCCAAATCGTGATTGGGTTTTCAGAAACCGCATCAATTTTTGCAGCCTGCGGAAAAGGTTTGAAAGTGATTGGTTTGGGCCGGCCAAATCCGGCCCGCTACATATCCAAATTTGCGACGGGGTTTCCAGAAACCACATCACATTTTTTGACGCTTCAGCCAAGAATTTTTGGCTACCAATCACAATTTCGATGGTATAGCCAAAAATTTTCGGCTACCAATCACCATTTCCATGGTGTAGCCAAAAATTTTCGGCTACCAATCACCATTTCGATGGTGTAGCCACAAATTTTTGGCTACCAATCACAATTTCGATGGTGTAGCCAAAAAAATTCGGCTACCAATCACAATTTCGATGGTGTAGCCAAAAAAAACGGTTTCGAATTGTGCAATTCAAAGCAAATATTTTTTTTTGGCAGCAGCATCCAGCCTGCTAATTATTGGCAGCTGAGTTTCTGGGGCCATATCCTGAATTTATATTGCGCGTTTAAAAGCCTACCATCTTAATATTAACTTGCCTGGTCGGTGGTGAACATATTTGAAAAATGCAGTTGGGCTTTAGAAAACTTTTTAGATCAGTATTGTGGTTGCAAATGCATCAAGGCTGTGGTTGCGCCTTCTTGGGAATTTCAATCGCGTCTTTTCGTTTTCTTTTGGGTGGTGTGACTAAAGCCTGAGTTCCACCGACGGACTTGGCACCCAAAAACTGCAAGCACATATTATTCTGGTGCTTCCGATTTTGAATTCAAATTGTTGTGTGTGTGTTCCTGCTTACTTTTGCTGTCTCTTTTTGCTTGGTTTCTGACCAGATGGACGTGACACAGGTCACGGCTAAGGTGGTTTCATTTCGTTTGACCCAAGCATCCTTTGTGGACACTTTTTCTTCACCTCAATTCCTGCAGTGGGAACCACCAAGACCTGACACATTCACTCAGCCTGACGATATATACGGGTTTGCGAAAAATACGTTTGTCGCAGACAGTGTTTTTAATTAACGGTTTGCCGTGCCTACGAAGGAAATGCCGGTGTTTGCACGCATTTGACATGGAACTTGTCTTTGGAGCATGGGCAGGATCCTCATGACAAAGCATGGCTAGAAACAGTATAGTTGCCCCGGGTACACCCATTCATCCTTCAAGTCAATTCGCGAGCGCATACTGGAATTGTTTGGATGTATTGCCCTGCACTGTCTTGCTAGCAGATGTTTTTTTGAGCCTGCGGCATTCATGTAAATTTATCATAAGCTTTTTTTTAAGGGCCCGGATCCATAACGAAAAAGACCCGGTTACGATCGGATTGGCATTATTATTTTTCAGGGTTTTTAATTAATATTAGGGGGAAGCTTCGAAATCCAATTTTTGGCAATATTTTAATCGCGTTGTACGAAGAAATTTAATTGATTTTGGGATCGGAAAAAATAGTTTTTATGATTAAGGGTTTGAATTTAATATTAGGGGGAAGCTTCGAAATCCAATTTTTGGCAATATTTCAATCGCGTTATAAAAGTAAATTTTATTGATTTTGAGATCGGAAAAAAATAGTTTTTATGATTAAGGGTTTGAATTTAATATTAGGGGGAAGCTTCGAAATCCAATTTTTGGCAATATTCTAATCGCGTTATAAAAAGAAATTTAATTGATTTTGAGATCGGAAAAAATAGTTTTTATTATTAACGGTTTTAATTTAATAGTAGGGGGAAGCTTCGAAATCCAATTTTTTGGCAATACCTATAGATACTCTTTTGAAGCACTTTTTGCTCAAAGTATCCTCTACCCATGCTGCGGCGTAATTTCAAACTTGGGGCATTTTTGGATTTCTGCTGCGGCGTTTTTTTGCTTCTAAACAAAAACCGTGCAAGAAGCTGGAGCACGTGGTTTCAGCATTTTTCAGGGCTTCACTACATCCTGGTCAGGAACTTTGACTCACTTATCTCAATGCGACTGAAACAAGCTGGTAATATTTCGGATCAGCCGACCGAAAGTTGCAGCTCTTGTTGTTGTTCTGGGATTAACTTGCAAGTTTGGACAGCCACGTTTTTTTCAAAATTCCCCGGTCAGGTCAATCAAATAATGACTTGTTGCGTAATTGCGGCATATTTTGGTGCAGCAATGGCGGCGTAATTTGGCGTAATTGCAGCGTAATTTTGCGTAATTGCGGCGTAATTTGGCATAACTGCCTCAAAGTTGTTGCAACATGGCTCAATGACTCCATTGTGTTTGTTGGGGATGGTTTTTGTCAATTTCAGGGATCATGTGGCTGCAGCGTTCTTCTTGCCAATTGCCCAAACTTGTTGTATTTGCATCTCTGTACTTTGCAGCTAACTAAACAAAGTCTGATGTGCCACATGACATAGCCAAGAGATTAGGAGGGGCTGAACGTAGCAGAATGTGTAGTTGCTGGGCACTTAACCAAGAAGTTCCCGACAACCATGGTTCTGATTTGCGGCATTTTTTTGTTGCTGTCGCGTTTTCTCTTTGCTGCGGCTTTTTTCTTGCATTGCGGCAAAAACAAACGCCACAACGGCGTGCACTTTTTCGACTTCTCAACTTCCAAAAGTGCTCCGAGAATGGTATGCTTTGAACATTTTGGCTTGGAAATGTGCTTCGCGCCACAACGGCGTGCACTTTTTCGACGTCGCAACTTCAAAAAGTGCTCCGAACCTGGTGCGCTTTGTACATTTTGACTTGGATATGTGCTTGACGCCGCAGCGGCGTCAACTTTTTCAACATCTCAAATTCCAAGAGTGCTCCGAACGTGAGGTGTCTTTTGCTTTTTCACTTGCAAATGTGCTTCGCGCTACAACGGCGTGCAACTTTTCATCTCTCATCTGACCAGATGGCTCCGCACCCGCCGCTTTCGCGAGCCTACTTTTCGACCCTCCGGAACCACAAATCATTGGTAACACACAGTGAACCGCTACCTTTTCGCCCACCTGCATCTTCTTTCTTCTCACTGTTTCTCTTCTCTCATCTTCTCTCTTCCACCCTTCTCTTCTCTCTGACTCTTCCCATCTTTGCTTTTCCACCAAGGCCAACACTAAAACAAAGACACTGTATATTGTGTATATGTAAATAAATATAGATAAATACATATATATATATATGTATATATATGGATTATACACCAAAACATGATAAAACTTATATCAGCCATATGCTTTGACAAAACAAAGGATAACTTTTGAGGTTTCACATCATCTAGCCGGATTTTTTAAAGAAATCATGGTGAACTTGCCAATGTTTCTTGTTTCTTCCTGCAGATTTCCCCAGCTCTGAAAGCTACGAGCTTCGAAAGCGGCTCTGTCCAACGATCCATAGGCCACGATGTCCATTGAGCTTCGCCCTTGGATTCATTTGTGGGGGAAATCAGCTTCCGGCTCCACCTGTCGACAACCCGGCGTGGAAACCGTACGTGTGGGGTCATGTTGTAAATTCATCTCGGTATATCTCGGTTCGATTGAAATGCGGTGTTTTCACATATTTCGAAGATGATGAACTCTCAGTTTCAGTGCGAATTCCGTTCTGTTCATTGAAAATGTGCATCTTTCGCCCAATATGTCAAGATGTGTCAAGTGCATTTCGCATATTTTCATCCTTCCTGGGATGGTCTCAAAAAATGGACTGTGGGGAGTGAAACCTCACGACTGCAAAATGTTCAAAAGTCTTGCTCTTGGCACTTTTTCGTTTCGCCTGGAGGTACACAGTTGCTTCACAGTTTGCCGTGAGCTGAATTAGAGAAGATCTTGGAGCATAGCATCAATAATGGCAGAGTAAAAAGAAGATCTTGGACCGTAGCATCATCTATGTAGACAAGTAAAATTGACGTTCTTGCACCCCCCCCATACCTCCGATACCCTGCCCCCCGAAATCTGGTCCAAGGCAGGAGAAAAACAGGAAAACAAGCAGTGGAACAGCGGAACCGAGTTGGAGGAAAATCCTCAAGGGATAAAATCTCTTGAGGATATCGATGTGGGATACAGCATGGGTGTATGTTTACAATGTTATTGTTATCATTATGATGCATTGTATCTAATTTAATTTCTTTCCACATTGTCTATTGAAATCTTTAATATGTGATGATGGGTATTTACTGGGAACATTGTATCATAGCTATATACAGTAGGGGAATAGACAATGGATGACACTGTTAAGAAGTCCCACTTATGACGAATTAATGTGGAAATCTGTACAGGATGGTGCCCCCCAGTTATAAGTTGGTTTACAATCTATAGCCTATAGCTATACGAACCATAAACCACAGAATTCAGCCACTTACAAGGCAACTGAACGCCATCTTGGGGGCCCCATCCAGTAGGATTGTATTTGTACATCCGTCGATGACTGGGGATGATGACCTGATCGATTCCCAGCTGGACTTAATCACCCCCAGCTCATGATCATGAACCAATGAGGACAAAGAAAAATATATAGATTGTCCGCAGTGAGTGCATAAAATTAACTATATAGAAGAGTAATGTGGTAAACCCAATGATAAGCTAAGAAAAGTTTTTGGGACCATGAGCTAGACGACGGATGGCCCGAGAGCGTAGAAGAGCATGTTACTCTCTTGTTAGTAGTATCAAAGACATTGCAGGTGAAAGCTTCATTGAAGATGATGCAGATGATCAGCAGAAAGGAGATAGAAATGCTATGTCAGATTCTAAGCAGGAGTAGACAAAGATAGACACAAAATTTGAGAGACCGACAGAGACAGACAGCAAAGAAACACATACACACACAGACGCGCAAACAAAGATACAGACACAGACGCACACACACACACGGTACACAAACAGACACCACACGCACACACACACAAACAGAACACAAAGAGGAAGACACATACACGCACACACACACAGGCACAGACACACATGCACACAAAGAGGAAGACACACACAGGCACAGACACACACGCACACAAAGAGATAGACACGGGAAGCACAAACAGAGACGCAGACAGACACCAGGACACACACACACACAGAAGTCATCGTTGTCGTGCCCACCTCAGCAATCCGAAGGGGGATGAAGTTCGTGACCTAATCCAGTCATGAACGGATACCAACAGTCCAACAGCGCATCGTTCAAATCAACTGAATTTGTTCGAAACGAAGTATATTGCAATCTCCCCGCAGCTGCAAAGCAATCGGAAGAAGTGTAACCATTTTGATTTGAATCACGCTGCGTGCAATGGCATTCCTGCGTCCCTGAGCTTGTGCACCAAAGCAAGAATGTGTAGCTTTTACACACAGCAAACTTTTACACATAGAAGCTTTTTCACACAGACGCTTTGACACACAGAAACGTTTGCACACAGAAGTTTTTACACACAGAAGCTTTTACACACAGAAGCTTTTTACACACAGACACTTTTACACACAGACACTTTTACCCACAGAAGATTCTACACACAGAAGCTTTTACACACAGAAGCTTTTACACACAGAAGTTTTTAGACACAGAAGCTTTTACACACAGAACCTTTTACACACAGAAGCTTTTTACACGCAGACACTTTTGCACACAGAAGCTTTTACACACAGGAGCTTTTACACAGACGCTTTTACACACAGACGTTTTTACACACAGAAGCTTTGACACACAGCAAACTTTTACACACAGAAGCTTTTTCACACAGACGCTTTGACACACAGAAACGATTGCACACAGAAGTTTTTACACACAGAAGCTTTTACACACAGAAGCTTTTTACACACAGACACTTTTACACACGGACACTTTTACCCACAGAAGATTCTACACACAGAAGCTTTTACACACAGAAGCTTTTACACACAGAAGCTTTTACACACAGAAGCTTTTAGACACAGAAGCTTTTACACACAGAAGCTTTTACACACACAGAAGCTTTTTACACGCAGACACTTGTGCACACAGAAGCTTTTACACGCAGGAGCTTTTACACACAGACGCTTTTACACACAGACTTGTTTTACACAGTACCATTTTACTTCAGTTTTCGACGATCAAACATCATTTCGTGCGAAAAGGTTCGCCGGACCCTTTGCAAATGAGAATGTTACCTCAGTTTTTGGCGATCGAACCTCATTTCGTGCGAAAGGGTTGCGTTTCGTGCCCTCTCGTTGGCACCGCCGCGCGCCTTAAGAGAGAAATAGAAAAGAACGAGAGAGCAAGAGACCAAGAGGGCAAGAGAGCCAGAGGGCAAGAGAGCAAGAGGGCAAGAGAGAATGTGAAGATATGAATGTGTGAAGATGAGAAGATGTGAAGATGAGAAGATGTGAAGATGAGAAGATGAGCAGATGCGAAGATGAGAAGATGAGCAGATGAGAGGATGAGAAGATGTGAAGATGAGAAGATGTGAAGATGAGAAGATGTGAAGGTGCGAAGATGAGAAGATGAGAAGATGTGAAGATGAGAAGATGTGAAGATGAGCAGATGTGAAGATGAGAAGATGTGAGGTGAAGATGAGAAGATGTCAAGATGAGAAGATGTGAAGATATGAGGATGTGAAGATGAGAAGATGTGAAGATGAGGATGTGAAGATGTGAGGATGTGAGGATGAGAAGATGAGAGGATGCAAATGTTTGACAGACCCCCACTATTAGAAGAACCCTTCGCTCAGACGCTCTCGGGAAAAACTGAGAATTCTGGCAAACCACCAGAAACTATATCTTTCCAAAAGGAAATCAATGTTTCTGATCGTTTTTTGCGCAAGCGGTCTCCTCACCTGCAGTCGTCAGATGTGAGTTGCATCAATGCGTCCGTAGGATTCGACAAATCTTGCAGCAAAAGGCCCTTGATTTTGCCCTGGGATCCCGAGTAATGTGCAAGGAGCTGCCAATTCACATTCACAGGCCGCTTGGTGTTTGGGTCCAACTCAACTCCTGCAACATTTGCCCGCAGGGACTCAGAAACTCCCCTGTAAAACCTTACAATTATATATTGGGATTTGCATCTATATACATTTATCTATCTATTTATCCGTCTATCTATGTATCTGTCTGTCTGTCTATCTATGTATCTATCTATCTATCTGTCTGTCTGTCTGTCTGTCTGTCTGTCTGTCTGTCTGTCTGTCTATGGATCTATCTATCTATCTATCTATTTATCTATCTATTATCTGTCTATCTATTATCTGTCTATCTATTTACCTATCTACCTGCCTATCTATCTATCTATCTACCTACCTACCTATCTATCTATCTATCTATCTATCAGTCAATCAATCAATCAATCGAACAATCTATCTATCTATCTATCTATCTACCTACATCTATATCTATATGGGATTCTTGTAACTCAATTAGCACACACTAGACAAGAACTGGATCATTGTAGTGGTCCGTCGGGAACTGAATCGAATAACATGCAATTAAACAAGACTTTCCGTGGAGGGGTTCTCGGCTTAGCCCCGTGCCATGTCGATCGGAAAATAAAATTGCAGGCACGTTTGCACAGCAACTTGGATGGGTCTTCGTTGGCCCATGCCATCCAAGTGCCCATGGGCCCCCTGCAAGAGTAGAAGTTTTACATCTGCTCAGATATTACACGCGCACACACACACACACACCCGGGCCGAAGCCGGGTAAACCCTGAAAGGCAAGAGGAAAAAAAAATGTGGACACCAACGACGGGCCAACGGACAAAACAGCGCAGGGGGGGGAAGGGAACAAACGAACCTCAAGAACCAACCTAAGCGGAAAACGGACTTAACCAGCACAGAGCACACCTCAACCCCACGACACATTACAGAGGGGCACGGGGGATAATTAGGGACCAAATGGGGAACTAGTTGATGAAGAGGAATGCAAAAAAGAAAACATTTAATTGGATTCAGCTCAAACCTAAAGAGTCGTGCGTTACTACTCCCTCGAAGGGACGGTAGTCGGTCACACCACATGGGCATTAAACGGCTGTTCAATTTCAGATGCACAAAATGTTTGGCCTCACCAGATACAAAAAAGACCATACCTGCAGGAAGAGGAAATGCCTGTAGCCTTCAGTATACCCCTTGTCATGTTGCAAGGCTTGAGCATCAGCGATAAAAGAAGTTTCTGGTGGTTCGGAGTTCGGAGCGACATTTCTTCAGCAGGAGTGGGCTTGCCCGCGGATCACATAGACAACAGGAGCAGCGGGACATTGCAAAAGGTGCATAACCGAAAGGCCGACTGTTTCAATCCGCATTCACCTTAAGAAAGGTTCCCTCACTTGGGTCCATGGAACCATGTCGGAGTCACCATGGAAAAAAACTGGACAAGAGAACTGGAACTGGATCATTGCAGTGATCCGTCGGGAACTGAATCGAATAACATGCAATTAAACAAGACTTTCCGTGGAGGGGTTCTCGGCTTAGCCCCGTGCCATGTCGATCGGAAAATAAAATTGCAGGCACGTTTGCACAGCAACTTGGATGGGTCTTCGTTGGCCCATGCCATCCAAGTGCCCATGGGCCCCCTGCAAGAGTAGAAGTTTTACATCTGCTCAGATGTTACACGCACACACACACACACCCGGGCCGAAGCCGGGTAAACCCTGAAAGGCAAGAGGAAAAAAAATGTGGACACCAACGACGGGCCAACGGACAAAACAGCGCGGGGGGGGAAGGGAACAAACGAACCTCAAGAACCAACCTAAGCGGAAAACGGACTTAACCAGCACAGAGCACGCCTCAACCCCACGACACATTACAGAGGGGCACCGGGGATAATTAGGGACCAAATGGGGGACTAGTTGATGAAGAGGAATGCAAAAAAGAAAACATTTAATGGGATTCAGCTCAAACCTAAAGAGTCGTGCGTTACTACTCCCTCGAAGGGACGGTAGTCGGTCACACCACATGGGCATTAAACGGCTGTTCAATTTCAGATGCACAAAATGTTTGGCCTCACCAGATACCAAAAAGACCATACCTGCAGGAAGAGGAAATGCCTGTAGCCTTCAGTATACCCCTTGTCATGTTGCAAGGCTTGAGCATCAGCGATAAAAGAAGGTTTCTGGTGGTTCGGAGTTCGGAGCGACATCTCTTCAGCAGGAGTGGGCTTGCCCGCGGGTCTCATAGATAACAGGAGCAGCGGGACATTGCAAAAGGTGCATAACCGAAAGGCCGACTGTTTCAATCCGCATTCACCTTAAGAAAGGTTTCCCTCACTTGGGTCCATGGAACCATGTCGGAGTCACCATGGAAAATAAACTAGACAAGAGAACTGGAACTGGATCATTGCAGTGATCCGTCGGGAACTGAATCGAATAACATGCAATTAAACAAGACTTTCCGTGGAGGGGTTCTCGGCTTAGCCCCGTGCCATGTCGATCGGAAAATAAAATTGCAGGCACGTTTGCACAGCAACTTGGATGGGCCTTCGTTGGCCCATGCCATCCAAGTGCCCATGGGCCCCCTGCAAGAGTAGAAGTTTTACATCTGCTCAGATGTTACACGCACACACACACACACATGGACGCAACTCTATATATACATACACACAATGTTGCAATCTATGGATACAAACACTGTCTGAGAAGGTATCAAACCCTCTAAATCATACCTCAAAGACTTCCTAAGAAGGTACTTGGATGTACTTGGACACAAATGACGTATTTCTGTTTAAACAAAAAACTATATAGTAAATATACATATATAGTATATACAGATATATATATATATAGAGAGAGAGAGAGAGAGCAAAAGAGTCTGTATATATATATGTATGTATGTATGTATGTATGTATGTATGTATGTATGTATGTATGTATGTATGTATGTATGTATGTATGTATGTATGTATGTATGTATGTATGTATGTATGTATGTATGTATGTATGTATGTATGTATGTATGTATGTATGTATGTATGTATGTATGTATGTATGTATGTATGTATGTATGTATGTATGTATGTATGTATGTATGTATGTAATGTATATGTAATGTATGTATGTGTAAATGTATGTAATGTTGTAAATGTATGTATGTATGTATGTGTGTGTGTATGTATGTATGTATGTATGTATGTATGTATGTATGTATATATGTATGTATGTATGTATGTATGTATGTATGTATGTATGTATGTATGTATTTTATATATGTATATGCGTATTGATTGCAATTTTTACATATCCAAACTATTTGCAATGAATCACTATCCCTCTTGAATATAAATAAACGCATTGTTTTCCCAGTGATACATCGGAAACCCCAGAGGAATCGTGCTGGGACGCAGGGTGGCACTTCGATTTAATCATATTGGTTGTTCCCTCCGACGGGGTGTTCACGCGCAGACACACTGGTGAACGTGCATTTTGTACTGTTTTTTACAGTGTTTCCTGCTTCTCTACAAGGTAGCCCTGGGGGGGGAGGGGCAGGAACAACTGATGTAACTGATGGTACAGGGTGGGGGATGTTAACGTTCCATGTAACTTGCTCGCGTTGTTGATGCTACGCCACGCTGGGGTGGGGGGGATGTTAACGTTCCATGTAACTTGCTCACGTTGTTGATGCTACGCCACGCTGGGGTGGGGGGGGATGTTAACGTTCCATGTAACTTGCTTTCTCCAAAGAAGAGAAAGGTGACTGCTGTCGGTGGAGATAGCAGTGCCGAGTCAGAAGTTGCCAGAGGCAAGCAGCAGTTGAGACGAATTAATCGTCTGGGAAGGAGCAGTCCAGCCAACAATCACATTGACTTGCTGGCCGCGAGACGCCTTCTGTTGAAACCAGGCTTGATGACTGTGCTGAAAGCACTGGAGATTTACAGACTCCACAGGCTCGGCACCTTAGGTCGGCATCCTCAGACAGCCTTTTCGCAGGAGGACGCTGACTTCTTGTTCAACTAGCCAAACTTCTGACTCAGCAAAGATGAAAAACCAAGTCGGCCGCGCGTGAACAGGCCGTCCGACCGTGGTTGTTTTACAACACCTATGATCCGGTTCGATATATGAACCATAAACACAATGAATAAGCTACATTTACGTTCACCAACTTGGCTATCATCAAAATCTATAAATCCCATGAAATCCCCAGCTTTTCGTGATTAACCCATGTAAAATTCCTATTGTTCTTCCTGAAACCAGCATTTTTCAATGGGGGAGGCTCCACCGGGGGCGCCTCCAAGGGCTTTGGCTGGGACCCCACGGAGGCCCCACATCTCGTAGGTGCCGCATTTGGCGAAAGGGTAGCGTTGTCCATCCAAGGTGGAAATGTGCGCTCCCACGCTGACACCTTTCCAGATTTTGAGTTTTAATGGAGGTTTTAATGCAGGTTGTCCCATTTTGATCGGGGTTATGCCTAGTGATTTTGTTTTTTTTACCTCCGAAAGTAGACTGTGTATGATAATAATGCAGCAAATGTTCATGGGGTTTCACTGGGATATTCATGGGATACTGGAAATTGGGACTGCAGAAAGGCATTTTCGTTGATGATGCTAAAACATGCCATGACTTTAGGGATGTTGATATGTTGGGATCATTTGGGATGTGATGGATGTCGGGATGTCGGGAATATATAGTAACTGATCATAGTTGATCTTCCCCCCAAAGTACATACAGTAGATATTACATGACTCAATGATATTTCTGTAGAAAAGAAAGGGAAACACCAGGAACACGATCTACAATGGTGAATGTTCTTTGGGACCCGGAGGCGCTGAAAAATCCAGCTAGACTTGCATGGATGTTCCAATTCAATGGCAAGTTGAATGAGAACACAATGATAAACCCTAGCGGGCTGGGTTGCTCTATATTTCGGAGAAATGCTACGTGATATGCAAGCGCATTTTGAGGGTCACCAAACCACAAACATCAACAAACGAATCAAGAGAGAGGGAAAACTTTGCCAAGCTGCACAGCATGAAGAATCTTTCAAATTAATTCTAGCTATAATATGGTAGACTTCTTGTAATAAGAGTGCCATGGAAACTCAGCAATCGGTGAAACACAGAAAACAAGTGGGCTCGAAGACCCACATGTAATTAAGTGAATGATTGGTAAATATACGGGGCGTGCCTTTGAAGGTAAACCGATGGTGTGAATCAGCAAAACCAATCATAGCAATCCATAGCATATAACTACAATATATTACAGTACCCTATTATTTCGTCAAAATGAATGCCTTCTGTCCGCACAATTTTCTGGATTTGTCTCGAAAAAGGCCTCCCTATTCAAGCCTCTGGCTTTTACCATGAGGTACTCCATGTTTTTATGCTTCCCTCTTTCAAACAAGACCGGAAATCATATTGTCGGTTAAGAAACAGAATGGTCCTCCTGGCGGTGCAGTTTTCAGATGATTTAAGATGTTAGTTCGAAAGGTTTTCTTGTAATTCCAAGGGCACTTTTACACAACAAATGGAGCAAAGTATCAGAAATCTTGAAAAATCAGATCAAATTCTATATCAAACTGAAAAATCACATACAAACCGCAAGAATTGACAAAACCCTGGAAAGGCGAACAAAAACATCAACCAATATCCCCAGGCTCTTTGGACGGGGGCCGAAACAAAAAAAACAAACGAACAAAAACAATGGAAAAACAGCGCCATGGTCTCTCAAAGCGCAACTGCCTGTTGAAGAATACCATGTCAAAATAATGCTTAACTTTCTACAATGCCTGTTATGCTTGTTCAAAGGACAATTTCATGGAGTCATACTTCACTTTCTTACAGAAGCATCAACCTCTTTCTCTTTCAAGGGGGGTGCTATATACATATATAGTTGTAGATATATTATATGAAAGGGTTCGCTTTAAGACTTTAAGTACACGACCTTAATAGACGACCTTAAACAATGCCATAATCCTTCACAAGGACTGCTGTGTGTTTTGAAGGGCTGCTTTCTCAAGGGAATGCCACACACTTTCGAAAGGAATAATGTGTATACATACATAATGATCATATAATTATTACATATATAATATTGATGTAAGAGTGAAGTACAACATCCTAAAATTTCATTCGTTATTCTTAAATGATGCTAGATTTGTTCAAATGAATGTTGTTTCTTGTTCAATGGAAGATTGCATAACACCATTTTTCGGGTTAATCGTTCATGAAGTCATCGAGTACTTTGTTAAGGGGATGCCGCAACCTTCAAAAAAAGTACTGTACATTCAAATGTTACCTAGAGAGATGCCACCCTCCTCTGAAAGGACTCCTAGTACTGTACATTCAAATGTTACCTAGAGAGATGCCACCCTCCTCTGAAAGGACTCCTAGCTCTATGGAAGACATACCATATCCTTTCCAAAAAATATATGTATATATATATATATGGAAAACGTGATGCACCCTTTAAAAAAGGAATGCTGTGCACATCTCAGTGCCCTGCTTCAAAGTAATGGTGCGCTTTAGAGGAATGTTGCCCTCTCTGGAGAATGTTGCATGGGCTATGCCACAACTTCCACAAAGAATGCCAGGAATGCCGGTTGATGACTTATGAGGAGCATGCTGTTGCCCCTAAATCTGAGCTGATACTATGCTTCAAAATCTGTTGCCCTTCAAGAGAGCAGCATGCTTATCCTTGCAAAACCTTCCATATCTCTTTATCATGCAGGGAATACTGCTTGGGGACAAAATAACATCTCCTGTCAATCAAAAGTGCTGTTACACACTGTTAACTCTTGTTCATGCTTGCTCTAAAAACATGCAGCATAGGAGCAACAACCACCCTATCATTTGAGCGTGGCTCAACCCGTCAAAATTGAATTCCATGTCTCTTTGATATTCATTGGCTCAATACAATAGTTCATGTCATTCATATCCCTTTTGCATCCTTAGTATATCCCAAGTCATTTTGTAGGGCATACATTCCATTATAAATACTATAATACCCCAAATGATATGCAATTGTCATTGTTACTATATCACGATATCTCCCACTAATTATATCCTATTACATTCCCATTCATAGATGGCTTTCCAATTCTTAGACCATTGTTACCATGATATGTTTGGGGTTAGACAACCCAATTGATCGCTTAACAGGCTTTGTTTCATCTGTTTCCCAACCTAGTCCAGCAGCGCTGCGCTGCTCACTCTGACGCTGAATCAAGGCCTCGTTCCAATTGGGATTTCAATAGTACAGGCGTAATCAAAATCTAGTGGGATTAGAAGAGCGCATTAAAATGCGATATAACAAAACTGACCTAAAATTTGATAACTGTATATATATAATGTATATATATATATATAACACAATATAACACACACATATATATATATAGTTCCACTTGCATGTCAACTCAGTTCAACCCTCGAACAATATTCATTTTGTAATAAACTAATCTTCCAACCCCACTTATGGCCCGGTCAACATTTGGTTGGGGAATGCCTGGGATTCTGTGGGTGTCCAAGCGAGAGTTTGATTGCCAGAGTGTACCTTCCGGTAATTTAACAAAGCGAAAAATGGTTCGTTTATTTATGATGTACCGAACCTTAGTGGTTCACTCCAGTGGGTTAGTTCACCCCAGCTCCAAGTGGGATAAGTATTGCGGCGTCCTCTCGAATAACAAAACTCAGGTGAACTAACATGAAGGTCTTGGAAGGTTGAAACCAGCCATTTCTGGTGATATTGTAGATGGTGTATATGGCATTGGGTCTACCATTGAAACGAACATGGGGCACACACCCAGTTTCAACATCCACATCCCATCCCAGTCCTGGGCATCTTCCTCACACTGCTCCCTATGCTCGCAATTCTCCGCAGTCCCAATGGGGGACAGAGCCAAAACCACGAGCCACCAGAGCATGACTTACGAAGTCGTCGGTTCAGCCGTCCGTGGATCTAAAAATCTCTTGATCAAAATGCCGCGGGTCCAAAGTTCAAGGATGTGCAAGGTGGTGGGCAGGATTTCCCCGTCCAAATTGGCGTATCTTGCATCTTGCCTGAAGAAAGGGTCTTGTATGGATCTTGTTTGTAAATCTTTAAATCCACTAAAAAGGGAACTTGAACCTGGCTGTGAAGCTGGGGAGCATTGTCTGAGCGTATGACATGTCTGGCTGATGACCATGAGTTTTCCGAATGGATGGTGATCCCGGATCCCCGGAAAATTCGCAGCTCCCACTGGCTCCCCATTTGCCAAATAGGCAACATGGATAGCCCGGACAGCTCCGAACGAAGCGCTCCTTCCAGTCGCCACTGAGAAAAAACATATCCCATGTATTAGATAGATAGATAGATAGATCGATAGATCGATAGATAGATAGATAGATTAGATAGATTAGATAGATTAGATGGATTAGATAGATTAGATAGATTAGATAGATTAGATAGATTAGATAGATTAGATAGATTAGATAGATTAGATAGATTAGATAGATTAGATAGATTAGATAGATTAGATAGATTAGATAGATTAGATAGATTAGATAGATTAGATAGATTAGATAGATTAGATAGATTAGATAGATTAGATAGATTAGATAGATTAGATAGATTAGATAGATTAGATAGATTAGATAGATTAGATAGATTAGATTAGATTAGATAGATTAGATAGATTAGATAGATTAGATAGATTAGATAGATTAGATAGATTAGATAGATTAGATAGATTAGATAGATTAGATAGATTAGATAGATTAGATGGATTAGATGGATTAGATGGATTAGATGGATTAGATGGATTAGATAGATTAGATAGATTAGATAGATTAGATAGATTAGATAGATAGATTAGATAGATTAGATAGATTAGATAGATTAGATAGATTAGATAGATAGATAGATTAGATAGATTAGATAGATAGATAGATTAGATAGATAGATAGATTAGATAGATTAGATAGATTAGATAGATTAGATAGATTAGAAAGATTAGATAGATTAGATAGATTAGATAGATTAGATAGATAGGATAGATAGGATAGATAGATAGATAGATAGATAGATAGATAGGATAGATAGGATAGATAGGATAGATAGGATAGATAGGATAGATAGGATAGATAGGATAGATAGGATAGATAGGATAGATAGGATAGATAGATAGATAGGATAGATAGGATAGATAGGATAGATAGGATAGATAGGATAGATAGGATAGATAGGATAGGATAGATAGGATAGATAGGATAGATATAGATAGGATAGATAGGATAGATAGGATAGATAGGATAGATAGGATAGATAGGATAGATAGGATAGATAGGATAGATAGGATAGATAGGATAGATAGGATAGATAGGATAGAAGGATAGATAGGATAGATAGGATAGATAGGATAGATAGGATAGATAGGATAGATAGGATAGATAGGATAGATAGGATAGATAGGATAGATAGGATAGATAGGATAGATAGATAGATAGATAGATAGATAGATAGATAGATAGATAGATATAATGTTTTTTTCCAGTATATATAATATTATATATATATGCCATTCGTATCCCAACTATCCCAAGTGTGTAGATATTTCTACAGAGAGAGAGAGAGAGAGAGAGGGAGTGCGTCAAAATGAGGAGAAAAAAACTGACGTACTTTAAGGTCGACCCAGCCATGAGATGATGTACCACATGTCAGGTCCCAATGTCCGAAGGTGTCAGGGTTGAAGCTGTCTCTTTGAAGCCAGCGCCTAAGCAGCATGGGTTTCTTCATATCCCATCAAGGAATCGCTGCCCTAAGGCTCCAAGGTTTGGTCCCTCCAAGTTTTTCCAGCAGCAGAAACAACCAGTTTTCCACGTCCATTTCCTCCACCAGGCAGGTTCTGGCATTGATCCTCAGATCTAAGCAAACTACTAGAAGTTATTCATATTCCATGTCTGGGTATCGGTTCAACTCTAATAAAAACAGCTGAATCCTGTATTCAAAGTGCCCAGATCGAGATCCACATCATATCTCAGCACTTGTGGCCGCTAGTCGTCGATCATCCCGTCAGAATCCGCGACGTCCTCAGCATCCGCGGAAGTCGCCTCGACCTCGGAGGCCCCGCGACACGCGTCATCCACGCACGCTTGGAAGGCCGGATCCTCCTCGTGGATGCGTGGGGAAAACGTCACCATGTTGATGTTGGGGATTTCCAAAGAAAAAAACTGGAGGATTTCATGATTTATAACATTTTATAACCATCAACAATAGAGGTGAACAATTGGATTTCAGTGGGAATTCATAACAGAAATCATCACCGATGATCACTGACTGTTTTCTGAGAAGATATCATTGTATTGATTAGATGATTAGAAGGAACATCTACGGGAAATACTGGTTTTCCGCATCAAATACAGGGGTCTCATGGTTTCATGTTCCGTTTAAAACAAAATCACTGCGGATACTGGGCTGTGTCCGCCATTTCCCGTTGCACGGGTGAAAGCCATTCCTATTGCGAACATACCAAAATAGGTACTCTCTCGTGTGGTTTATTGTCATGCCATGCACGAACGCCGGAATACCGCCCAAGCTATGTACCCTCCAAACTTGGTCACCGTCTCTGCTTTCTACGTTTTGCACCCTCTGGATCTGAGAAATCAAGTTTACTGCAGTCTCCCTGGTCTACCATAACATATATCCATCATCAATTCATCATTCATGGGATTGATTCAGGGGATTCTCTCTACAGCAAACCTTGGTTTTCTCAGTCATTCTTGTTCCAGAGTGAACCCAGCGTTTCCCCTAAACCACCACAAATAATACAAGTTGTATATATATATGAAGGTTTCCCGAAATGGGGGAACCCCAAAATGGAGGGTTTATGACGGAACATCCTATTGAAACGGATGATTTGGTGGTATCCCATCTTAAGAAACCTCCATATATGTGGTTATATACGTGGTGAATTGGGTGGTTTGGATTCCTGCACCAAATGTCCAAATCACTGTCGGTAGCTAACTTGGTTTATAGTTCCAATAACTAGGATTGTTGGTGGATATATCTATATCATTCTATATCTGTATCTCTGTATATTCATAAGTCTATATATATATAGTTCTTGGAGGTTGTCAACTTCTAATTTCTTCTAATAATCTGGGGGCACCACTGGGCAGGCACTTCAAGGGAATCATGGAGCTCCTCTGACACTTGCAGCTGCTTGGCACAAATCTTGCTTGCCTCGCTTCTGTCGTTCCTGAGCGTGAAGAGCCATCTGCCACTCATATTTTGCTAGGCCAGAATTCACAAAGTCCTGGGGGAACAAAGGTATCATATTTTGTCATAGTTGTATATATATATATATACCATGTATATCTATCTGCAATTCGCATTCTGATGAGCCCTGTCTGAAAGCTGGGGTAGTAGCAATCCAGGCTTGACACTGCCCATGACACCGGAGGGTAGTGGCCGCTTAAGGACATACAGTACACTAGGGGATGCCTGAATGAAATGGGGATGTACTGCAGCCTGCATGGGATGCTTCAATTTTTGTTGTTCAATGATTGTCATTCAGGGGTTGGTGGTGGTGGGGATATCAACAAACAGCCGAACTAAATATATCTGTGTGTGATTACATGCATATGTATACATATAGAGAGAGAGGGACATAATGACATCATTTAGAAAACACAATGGATGGCAGCGACGACAATTAGTTCTAGAAGTTTGATGGTTTCAAGCATTTTTCGATTGCCACGAAACCAGCACTGGAAGGATTATTTCGCTTATCCAACAATCCGTGTAAAATGAAAACAAAAAACTTCACATCGTGGGTTCTAGATGCTTGCCTAGAAACGTGGAATAACTTGTTCAATTGGCACGAACAGTGTTTAGGATGGGCTGAAATTGGGAAACACATATAATCAGAGACAGCTTGCTCTTTGCCGAAAGTTTGTAGATGATGATCCCACTTCACAAGTGTTCGCATTTCTCTCCACGGATTGTAGATGTTTGGCCGACTTTATTTGTGATTAGAAGAGTTGATACACTGTCAATCTAAAGACTCTGTGGCAGCCTGTGGCATGAACGTGCCACCGCTGCGAAAAGAGCACTTCTCAACATGGTTGGCTGGAAAATCCACCAGAAATGGAGGTTTTAGAAGGAACATTATCTGTAAATGGTGGGTGTTCCATTGCCACGTTTGATTACCGGAGGGTAACCCAACTTTTGACCATGGCACATGATATTGCTTGACACATTCTCTGCACCATGGTTTTTGTCATCAGCACCCCAGACCGCCGAATATTCTTCACAGCCACCAGTCCAAAAGTCCATGGCTGTTGGTTATATCCCCATTTTCTCTTAAACATGTAACTCCGATCTGTATATAAAAATTATGCAGCCTTTTTATTGGTGGTTTGAAGTCCTCAATCTACCCCCCCTGGTGTGTTATATAAAGCCCCAAAATAAGAAAACTGTTATTCCCCATGTGTCATAAATTGTGCAGCTTTGATAAAATCATTGAACGACGCCTAGGAGTGTTGGTACAGTCCCAGCTGGGCATCATTGTCTCATTGGTAAACTAACAGCTTGCGAAAAAAAAAACGCTGTGGGCCATTTCGTTCGATGAATTAACTATATGCTAGTACAATTAAAACATTAATATGTGTATATATATATATACAGTAAACATGGTGAAATTCCACAATTACAAGAGGCCCCTTTTATCATAAAGCCTTTTTTGGAGTTTTTATTAGTGTGCACCACCCATTATGACAAAAATGATCCACATCCCTGGTTGGCTGTTGGCGACCTGGCAAAACAATGATGATTCATCAAATATTATACAAAAAAGTAATTCTAATCCACGCCAACAGTTTTATTACAATACAACATATTATATATATATGTAGATATCAAATAATCAAACATGCAATATTCTAAACCAATCCAACCTTTCTTTCTCTCAGTACACCAACCAGCCAACACCGCCAAGTTTCTCGTCGCAGACTTGAAACAATTTCCTTGAGATTGGGGCTCTGAAAATGGGGTACCCTAAAATCCAATGGGGTTTATCAGAGCCATTTCCTGGCACGTCCTGGCCATATTTGGGGATTATATAAATTTTATTGAATTTAATATACCACGTTGTAAGAAACCCCATTTCCCAATGGATCCAATGGCTGGATTGACACAAGTATTGGAATTTAATCCATGTTATACTTGGTATTCCGTCAGCGCGCTACGGAAAAGCATTATGTTTCATAGGTAAATCATCAACGTGTATGTTTTTTCTCCGTGGGTATGGAAAAAATATCAGAGGGACAATGCCCATTACTCTTCCCGCTCTTCACATTTTCTTGGATAAATCCACATCAAAATCACGATGAAATCATATAAAATCCCATTAAATCCCATTAAATCACAATGAAATCATATAAAATCATATAAAGTCCCATTAAATCCCATTGAATCACAATGAAACCATACAAAATCCCATTGAATCACAATGAAAACATATAAAATCGCATTAAATACCATCATCACAACAAGTTTCAGGCCACCCAACTTCAGGTCGGAACGATGGAGGAAGAAAGACGCCTGGTTGGAGCCTCCCAGCGCCTAGGGAGGCTGGAACGAGCCAATAGACATGAAGATTTTCACTTTTTTGGGGGAGAGGGGGGTTAAGCAAGGTCAAGACAGCGTTAATGACTTGGGAAATTTGAACATATTTTTGAAACATTTGATACCGTGAACATACATTGCTACAGCATCTGCAAATCAATATCGAACCTTTTTGTCAAGTCCTGGAGGTAAACAGCGTAACACCAAGAGCGTGTTGCAAGTTCCAAGAATAAATTCAGAGCCTAAATTCTAGAGCGTGTTGGAAGTTCCAAGAGCAAATTACGACGATAACATGCAGAGCGCGTTGGAAGTTCCAAGCGCGGCGCAAGTTAAGAGCGTAGCATCAAGAGCGTGTTGCAAGTTCCAAACATAACTTCAGAGCGTAAATTCCAGAGAAGGTTGGAAGTTCCAAGAGCAAGTGAAGAGCGTAGCGTCAAGACCGTGTTGCAAGATGCATATAGGTGATCTCAGGCGAATGAACTTTCTTGGCCCACCACAGCCCGCCACACCCCATACAAGCGACGCGCAAAATTATGTGGGAAGGTAAAAGGTCAGCCAGCAAAATCACGTTCTGCCCTGGACTATCACAAAAGCGAAGGTTTCGTTCCGCCCAGGCCGTTAGTTTGAACAAGATGGTGCCACCACATATGTTAGTTGGTCTACAACATTACAACATTGATAAACCATACTAATTCGATATATCTACCATAAACCCAAACATGACATTGGGGTTATTTTCGCCAACTTAGCTAACTATGGGGAACCACCTTGAACCAGTTGAAATTTTGATTGGAGACAAACCGGGAGATGTGAACGTTCCGAGGGAATAGGAATCAATTTCATTGGGAATCATGGGGAACCTAAGAGCCATTGAGAACCTGCTTTCTCAACAGAAACTCCAAAAAAAACACCCACTGGGGATAAGAAATGGCATAATCATTGATCAAAAACACCGACTTCAAATAACAAGGCTCTGCCCACTGGTCTGGGATAAAATGGGCATCGGCGGAATGCTTGCCCGCTGCGATCTGGCCGACAACCCACTTGATGTCTTCACGGCGATGCATGTTGACACGCGCGCCAACTTGGTCGCCCTGCATGCAATGGATTTTCATGTCAGCCACCTCCACATGGTTCCCATCTTGTGTGTGCAGGAAGAGGTGCAACTCGGAGAACCAGTGGTCAAAACCATTGGCCTTCTTCTTGAGCTGGAAACTGACATTGGAGAGCTTGACAGAGGTTACACCACTCCTCAGTGCCAATTTCAAATGCTCCTAGTGCATTTGGGTGCAGACATGTAGATATAGAAAGAAAACATATAGAATTATATAGATATATAGATGTACACATTGATAAATCAGGAAACATCAATACCAAAACAAAACCACTGAACATATTAGATATAAATTATGACTTGTACTTAATTATGCCCAAAAAAGAATCAGTCATTTGTGCAAAAAATATTTTGGGCATCACCTCACTGGAGAATTTTGCCAGCAATTCTGGAAGAAAAGCTTCGAAAGTGGCCCCACCGTAGGATCCAAAAGCCACGATGACCACTTAGGTTCGCCCCTGGATTCCTTCGTGGGGGAAACGAGCTTCCGCTCCCACCTACAAAGGTGGACGTCTGGCGACGTCAGGCGTGGAAGAGTGCTGAATGGAGGACAATCCTCTAATTATAAAATCCATTGAGGGATACTATGAGATAACTATGCGTTTTTATTTGCCACTACAAGTAATTCCCCACCTGCCAGGTGAGGGTTGTTAGATTTTATCAGAGTTGTTCTTCTTCTCCTCCTCCTTCTTCTCTTCCTCCTCGTTCTCCTCCACCACCTCTGCCTCCACTTCCATGTCCACTTCCGCCTTGCCAACTCTTCGCCAAGCTCTTCGCCAACTTCCGCACGCAGTGGCCACTGCTGGACCTCAACTGCAAGGGTCTGAGCGCACTGGGCACCGCTGGACCTCAACCTGGGACCTTCCGAGCTCAGTGAGCACCACTGGACCGCAACCTGGGACCCTCCGAGCTCAGTGGGCACGGCTGGACCTCAACGGCCAGATAGAATGCCAGAAGATATGCCAGATAGAACGCCAGATAGAATGTCAGAAAGAATGCCAGAAGATATGCCGGATAAAGTGCCAAAATGTTTGCCAGACAGAATGCCAGAAGATATGCCAGATAGAATGCCAGAAGGTATGCCAGATAGAATGTCAGATAGAATGCCAGAAGGTATGCCAGATAAGGTGCCAGAATGTTTGCCAGATAGAATGCCAGAAGATGTGCCAGATAGAATGCCAGATACGGCGTCAGAAGATATGCCAGATAGAGTGCCAGAAGATATGCCAGAACATATGCCAGAAGATATGCCAGATAGAATTCCAGAAGATATGCCAGATAAAATGCCAGAAGATATGCCAGATAGAATGCCAGAAGGTATGCCAGATAGAATGTCAGATAGAATGCCAGAAGGTATGCCAGATAAAGTGCCAGAATGTTTGCCAGATAGAATGCCAGAAGATGTGCCAGATAGAATGCCAGATAGAATGTCAGAAGATATGCCAGAAGATATGCCAAATAGAGTGCCAGAAGATATGCCAGAACATATTGCAGAAGATATGCCAGGTAGAATGCCAGAAGATATGCCAGATAGAATGCCAGAAGATATGCCAGATAAAATGCCAGAAGATATGTCAGATAGAATGCCAGAAGATTTGCCAGTAACAAAACGTATAGATGTCATGGTGGGGATAACTCGAAGTAAAGTAATTATGTTTTTTGTCGCTTGCGCATGTTTTTGAAAATATGATTGGTACTTGCTGGGAAAATAGTGCGCTTATATACAGTAGCGGCATAGACGGCATAGACAATGGGATAACAATTGTATCGGACCATTTTGAACCTCTTGGAAAATCCATCCAATCAACCAACACTATGATGGATTATGATTCTGGAAACAATGGGATTGTTTTTGCACGATTGGTGATTTTCATGGACTTCATCATCTCCAACATGCAAGTAGTGCCCGCCACGCGCCGGGGCGGTAGTTTCGAACATAGGAAATGACTATAGGAAGAGAAAACATCTAGGGCCTAAAGGAACTTATTGTGAGCTGGAAAAAGGTGAAATCAAGCCTGCAACGAAGGCAAGATGCAATACATAAATAAATGCGTTAAAGAACGAATGAATGACTGAAAGAAAAAATGAATGGATGAATGCCTGAGTGAGTGACTGAGTGACAAAGTGACTGAGTGACTGAACGAACAAATCAATGAATGAGCGAAAAAATGAATGAATGAATGAATAAATAAATGAGTGAACGAGTGAGTGAGTGAGTGAGTGAGTGAGTGAGTGAATGAGAGAAAGACAGAAAGAAAGAAAGAAAGAAAGAGAGAAAGAAAGAAAGAATGAATGGATGAATGGATGAATGGATGAATGGATGAAGGAATGAAGGAACGAAGGAATGAAGGAATGAAGGATTGAAGGAATGAAGGAATGAAGGAATGAAGGGATGAAGGAATGAAGGAATGAAGGAATGAAGGAATGAAGGAATGAAGGAATGAAGGAATGAAGGAATGAAGGAATGAAGGAATGAAGGATTGAATGAATGAACGAATGAACGAACGAACGAATGAATGAATGAATGAACGAATGAAATGAAATTAAATGAAATGAAATGAAAAGAAATAACATGAAATAACATGAAATAACATGAAAATGAAAAGAAATGAAATGAATGAATTAAGGACTGATATAACATACTTCTCACTTAGTCGTCACAATGCATTCAGCAACCTCCAGTTGCAATCCCGCAAAGCAGAAAAGTAGCACCATGGCCTAAAACTACCCTTCGCGAAGCTGTTACAACGCGTTTAGCAACCTCCAGCTGCAATCCCACTTGCCAGGAGCGTCGCAGCATCACTCATGCTTTGCTGCGCAGAGCCGTGCCGATGCGATTTACCACAGCCGGTTGCAAACCTGCAAAGCAGATCAAAGCAGGAGCGTCATACCAAATCGACCAATGCCCCGTGCAGCGCTGACAATGGAGACTTGACCACAAAATTCCAGCGTTAGTCTGCGCACCCTCATGTGTTTCACAATTTTCATGTGAAATCGAGCTCTCGACAGTCTGGTGCACATTTTGCCGACCTCATCTTCCAAAAGTGCTCCGAACGTGATAGCTTTTTAAGATTTTGAGATGCAAACCGAGCTGCAGTCTCGTTGCTCCGTGCCCGGCTTTGAAGTGCAAATCGAGCTCTCGCCAGTCCTGTGCACATTTTGCATCTCCCAGATCGAGCCCTGAAGCCACGGAAACAGATGCCCTACTTCGGCGAGCCCAGGAGTCACTTCACCCGAGGAAACACAAGGTTTCGCACCCAAGATGGTTTTCACCCGTGAATTCACGCGTTCCCGAATTGTTACTCTTCTCTACTGCTCCCACACGCGAACTGCTCTTGCTCATGTTGTTGACAAGATGATGACGTGACGACAAGACTGCCCCTGGACACTCGCCCGTAAGTCAAAAGTTTTTGAACTAAACTTCCTTTGATGATATTCGATGGCATTGATTGGGTGGCATAATCCCGCATAACCATCAACCAATGGAATGACGGTTTGATTATGTTAGATTGTCCTCGCATGTCCTCACCAAAAAATGCAACTATAAATTCTATATTCTATATCATGTGGTAAACCCAAGGGAAACTATAGAAGAGGTTCTTGTCTTTTACACCCTCAATTGTGCCCTGAAACGGTGTGGCGCGCAATGGGCTGTGGTGAAAATATGTAAAGATGGGAATTCGTAGTCATCAACCACGGCGAAATTTGGCCACCTGGAACCCTCAAATAACATCAAACAACGTTTCGGTCCTTTGTGGGCACGCGCCGACATGCGTAACATCACGCGTGGGTGCAAGTGCCGGAGAAGATCTTACTGCGTAACATCACGCGTGTGTGAGTGTGCCCCCCCCCCATCCCCCCCCCCACCCCCCCTTTCCCCACCCCAAAAATAATATAAAATAATAACATGTCATGCGGGCACAACTTCTAACTAACGGGCACAACTTCTAACTGACGGGCACAACTTCTAACTGACGGGCACAACTTCAACGTACCATCACGAAACACTGGCTACAGTGAGCGAAATGAACATAAACACGCCCTGACAAGCAGTTTTACGCTGTCCCCCGTGCGCGCCGACAGCGGTCCGGAAGGAACAACCAGAAACTTTTACGGTGGTTCGATGTGATTCCCAGAGTTCCAAGTGTTTCTTTGGGTGCAATCCTCACTCCTGCGTAGCTACACGCCTGCAGTCTTCAGCCGTGATTTGCATCAATGAGTCGGTAGGATTCGACAGATCTTGCAGCAAAAGCGCCCGGATCTTGATTTTGTGTTTTCCCGAGTAATGTGCCAGCAGCTGCCAATTCACATTCACAGGCCGCTTGGTGTTCGGGTCCAAATCAACTCCTGCGAAACGACGACTTTGTTGCGCACTGAGTAGACTCGCAAAATGCTGGAAAATGTATATTAATTAAATGATTGGGATTTACATAGTCAGCTATTATACTACGAATGTGCATTTGTTTATTGTTATTCATGTTTATTTATCTAAACATATAGTTAATTAAATATATTCTATATTAAATATATTCTATATTGCTATGATATACGATGATATATTCGTTCGAATAAAATGAACCACTTACCCACTCAAATGCAAATCAATGTATTGTTTTCCCATCAGTGATACATGGGAAAACTGCGGCGACACAGGGTGATGCCCCGCGGTTACGTTTCAAACACCCATGAAGTCGAGTTTGATATAGTTTCATGTATCAACCCAATTGATAAGCTATATAATTATATATATATATAAAATATGATAAAATTGATTTTCACTTGTTTGTGTTCACTTAAATTTTGCTATACAAATCACTGGAGAATTGATATTAGTGTTACCCCCTCGGCGCCGCGTAACACACCGCCGCCTCCTAGAGCCTTGGATGGGACCCCACGAAGGCCCCACATCTCGTAGGTGCCGCCGCTGTTGAACAAGTAGCGATGTCCATCCAAGGTGGTTATGTGCGCCCCTACGCTGACACCTCGGAAATCTTGTTTGATGTTTTAACGGAAATCCGGAAGTGTTAAAAAGGTATCTTATGGCTATGTTACTGTACTAGTTATACTCTTTAAACCTCGGAAAATGTGGATTGCTTAATGATCATATTCTGGCTAATTTTCATGGACTGTTACTTGGATTTGAATGGGAAAGCGAAAATTGGGATTGCAGAAACGCCAAAAAAAAAACAACAGGTGGCTGAAACATCCCAACAACTTGAATTACTTGAGCGTATTCGGAATGGATGTTCCAATTCAAGGCAAGTTGAATGAGAACAAGATGATAAACCATAGAATGGCCATTTTTCAATAACTATGTAACAAATTACCAGATGGTAATTGTTTCACAAGGCTTTGTTTCATCCCTTTGCCACCTGTTCCAGCAGCGCTGCGCTCGACGCGCTCGACACTCTGACGCTGAATCAAGGCCTGCAAAATCGGACCATTGGGATTTCAATGGTACGGGTGTAATGGACATTTAATGGCGATAAGAATGGCGCATTAATGCGGTATATCATATATCTAGATATTACACGATTTTACTGAATACAACTTGATATGACATATCAAAGTTCCAGTAAATCAACAGTTCAACAGTTCAACCCTAAATTCGTAAAGTATTGTGCAGCGTCCAAGTCCACACTCTAGGCGGGGTCTATTAGTTACAGGGATGGTATCTCATCATACATGTATATATATATACATGCATGTGTGTGTGCGTGTGGAAATCACACACCAAATAGAAAACATAAAACATGGGATGTACTGTACAGGATGAATTAATTGCCCGGTAGGTACTCTAACATAGCAGTAGCTTCTTTAGGTCTAGATGATGTTTGCGCTAGCAGTGGATATTTCCATGGATTTCCACTCGACAGCTCGATTTCCAGAGTGTAACCGGGTAATTTAAGAATAAAGCTTTGGAAAATGGTGTGTATGAATGTTTTAACTATATTGAGCGCTTAAAAATGGTGATATGTCATGGTGATGTTTCATAACCAGAGGGTATACTCAATCGTCAACACCTGGAGGAACTCAGAACTGGCATGTCATCCCGTATCACAACTGGAGCCACTCAAAAAAAAGAGGTTGAAGCACAACATATTTGCCATGGTCAAGCATGATATATGGCTTATGGTCATCCATCCATTGGAATCCTTAATGTGCATATAAATCCTTATGACAATGCATCGATGACCATCCCCCAATCGGTGGATATACAATCCACTTTCTGGTTACAGTTATATATATACTATATGTATACATGGAGGTGTCCTAAAATCAGGGATCCTCAAAATCATAGGTTTCAATTGTTTCAATACTAAAATTCTCTAATTTTGGATGATTGAGGGGTAACCCCATTTTAGGATTCACCCATTAATACATTCCATGAAATATCCTTGCCAATACCTCATCAAATCGCGACCCAAAAATGCGTGAAACCCACCTGTTGATCATTTTTCACTTGTGAAACCACCAAACTCATCTGGGATTGTCTCACGAGGCAGCCCTCCCAAACAATTCAGAATGGCTGGCCATCATTTCCCCCATCAATGTGATGGGGAAAATCATCAATCTCCAATTTGGAAAGGTCTATACCATCCGTGTTTGGTGATATTATATCGATATTGGTGATGGTTTATGTCATTGGGCTTACCAACAAGTGATGTTTTTTCACATGGAACCCACCAATTTTTGATCATCCACATCCCATCCCAGTCCTGGGCATCTTCCTCACATTGCTCGCCAAAACAATTCTCCGCTAACGTTGGGGACAAGGCCAGAGATGCCAGAGTCAGGAGCCACCAGATCTGCATGACACCGGCAGGTCTGGTGTTCGAAACGAAGTCGGTTCAGCCGATTTTAGTTCTTGATGAAAAAATGGCAGCTAACCAGGGCTGACCATGCTGGTCATGCCATGACCACTTGGATCATCCCACGTTTCAATACGTTTCATCCGGGTTGTCCTAGCCAACTGCTTCGAATTCGTCCCCGATTCCTGCCTTAACCATGGTTAATCCATCTACACATGGATTTCAAATATTATATATTTACTATTGTCATATATATATATATATATACCGTATATGATTCTCAAATACTTACTAAGTGGGATGATCCTCCAAGCATGACTTACCAGCTACAACTTGGCATCAAAAGTGCTCCCTCCAGTCACCACTGGAGATTCCTGTCATATCCCAAGATTAGCCCGTGATATTCCATGAAGAATTCCATCCTATTTGTCATGACTATCCCATATTCCAGCCGATTACATCCCCAAAAAAATATCCCATCGAAATACTGATATTCCATATTATTCCCTGATATTCTCCCATGAATTTTCCATTAAGCACCATTCAATGGGATCTTCATGAAAATTGCATGAAAAAAAAACTGGACTTCCCTGGAATGTCACTGAGCCCAGTGCGGCTCGTCGTCGGCCTTTCCTTTGCCTTTGGCTTTGCCTGGGCCGCCGTGGGCGAAGTGGATTTCGTGATACAAACCTACATATATATATAATATATATATATATACATATATATATATATATACATAGAGAGAGATAGGAAAAACAGGGTCTATTTAATTATTTAATGTAATGTAAGTATCCATTTATTTCGTTATTCATTTATATCTTTTATTTATATCGTTTCATCTATTTATTTTTTCCATTGCTATTATTAATATCATTGTCATCATTGTCATCATTGTTATTACTATCGTCATTAGTATGATATTATGATGATGATTATTGTATAATATTGTATCTGGGCTTTATATATGGATATATATGGCTTTATCTTCACATGCTTTCAATTTTTTCGTGAAATGTTTTGATCTTCACATACCTTCGGCATCTTCGGCGCGCCTTTCATGGCTTTACCCTTGCTCTTTCCCTTTGGGTAATCGTCGAATTCCTCATACGTGCCTCAGCCAGCGATATTTCCCAAGGGACCTAGGATTTTTGAAGATGTTCAAAAGCCTCCCCTGTCCACAAAGAGTCCAAACCTTCCGGCTTTGCTTTCAACTCTTCACAACCACCTTGTATGTTCAGAAATTTCTGGAAATCCTGTGAGCAAACAAGACCCCCAAATGATGACAGCCTGGCAGAAAAAGGCTCCGATAGTCCAGCTGGCAACCCTCCAATCCCTGGTTCGCAATGGATCCATTGGGATCTGGGGAAAAGCCTGGCAGCCACTAAGAAAGCGACCCTTGGACTTTCCCATCTTTCCCTTACCCTTCCTTGGCGCAGACTGAATGGGGGACAAAGGAACCGATTTGGATTGGGCACCTCCAAGGGGGCTCCTGTGCACCTCCATACGGATGGCCCGTAGATGATGGCTCGACAAAGGCGAATGGCCCGGCGTTTTATAGCCATCTGATGCATGCCCTCTGGTGATTTAACATAGCAACGGAATTTTGCATCATTTCCAATTTCCAACCTCTAACTCATTCATGAGATGATCAATGTCCCATTGCCATATCACGTTAAATAAATAGATTTAAATAGCAATCTGAAATTGCCAGAGGGTAATCAGTTTCGATATCAGTTTCTGCGGATGGATACCCTCCATCACCTCAAATGGACCAACTGCCGGGGACAAGGACTATGGCCGACTAGTGGCGTGGCATCTGTCTTTCCACCTTTGGGGTAAACGTCGTTTATGATATTGTGGTCGACCAATGGGATCAAGTATCATGCAAATCCTTTACCAGTAAGCTGCCCCTCGGGCACGCCCATGTCAAGCGCCCAAGGTGACCAGGAACATGGTTATAAGGGATGTGGACATCCCTAGGTAAACGATAACTCCATTCCAGTCCAAAGAATGGCTGCCCTGGATTCCGCATGAAAAGATATGACAGGCAGCACACAACTCCTGACCAGGATATCAATCTTTCACCCCTTGACAGCATCAATCAACCAACAAGACCCGTTTTTGCAGTTACAATAAGTCCCCATGATTGGCTCATGCCCTGTCATTCCAACATATTTCCCCATTGCCGCCGATTCAATCCCCTAAATCCATTTTTTCTGGTCAAAACCCATGATATTGGGTAAATAAAATCAGCGCCGTTGTTCAATTGTTGCGAGTGGAATCGCTGTTGCTGCTGCTTCAACATTGGTCTTGCTGGTCAACTCCACATTCTTGCTGATGAAGTCTTCATTGTTGCCATGTGAACCCCCATTGGCCCATTATCACTTGCTGAATCCCCATTTTTTGTTGACACCAGCCCATCAGAAAAACCAAGAAAACCCACCACTGAGCTCAGCCTCCCCTTTCCCTTCATCTCCATCATCTCTCCTTTGCCCAGGGCCTGGCTCTTTTCAGAAACACACTGCTGACACATCGCCGCTTCAGGTACCGATTTATTGGAGCTGAGCTACCTACCACACATAGGACCTATATAAGGGCTATGCGATTGAACACAGGGACGATGGTTTTCTGACATCGTTGGGGAACCAACAGGAGTATGGGGATATGTGGAGATATATGATGTAGATTGCGAAAATATACACATATCTATATCTAAATCTATATATATATATGTACATATATGTATATATATATATATATACACGCTATGGCACATGGTTTTAGGTACAATTTGAGGACCTGTTTGGGTATGTGGGTCTTTGCGAAAACTCTCAGGATATCCGGGACGAGCGTAGATGTTAACCAGCCAACAAGAAGATGGGGACCTAACCGTCATGGATCTCATGAAGATTTCACGGTGGCTAGTAGTTTTAAAGTTGTTTTCTTGGCATTCAATTCCGTCCTCTATGAAAACGTGTATGCGACCAACAGGGGCGTTTACCCAGCCATGATAGGGATATATTATATTAAATTCACATGCATTCGCTGCAAAAAAAATACTTTACTTCGTGTGATCCCCACCATGACATTTATACATTTTGTTGCTGGCAAATCTTCTGGCATCCTATCTGACATATCGTCTGGCATTCTATCTGGCATTCTATCTGGCATATCTTCTGGCATATGTTCTGGCATATCTTCTGGCATTCTATCTGGCAAATCTTCTGGCATTCTATCTGGCATATCTTCTGGCATTCTATCTGGCATATCTTCTGGCATTCTATCTGACATATCTTCTGGCATTCTATCTGGCATATCTTCTGGCATTCTATCTGATTCTATCTGACATATCTTCTGGCATTCTATCTGACATTCCATCTGGCATATCTTCTGGCATTCTATCTGGCCGTTGAGGTCCGGCAGTGCCCACTGCGATCTGGAAGTCGCGGTTGAGGTCCGGCAGTGCCCACTGCGATCTGGAAGTCGCGGTTGAGGTCCGGCAGTGCCCACTGCGACCTGGAAGTCGCGGTTGAGGTCCGGCAGTGCCCACTGCGACCTGGAAGTCGCGGTTGATGTGTATGTGTATGTGTATGTGTCTGTGTATGTGTATGTGTATGTGCATGTGTATGCATGCATGCATGCATGCATGCATGCATGTATGTATGTTTGTATATCTATGTGTATCTATGTGTATGTATGTGTATGTATGTGTATGTATGTGTATGTATGTGTATGTATGTGAATGTATGTGTATGTATGTGTATGTATGTGTATGTATGTGTATGTATGTGTATGTATGTGTATGTATGTGTATGCATGTGTATGTATGTGTATGTATGTGTATGTATGTGTATGTATGTGTATGTATGTGTATGTATGTGTATGTATGTGTATGTATGTGTATGTATGTGTATGTATGTATGTGTGTATGTGTGTATATGTATGTATATGTATGTATATGTATGTATAAGTATGCATGTATAAGTATACATGTATGTATGTATGTATGTATGTATGTATGTATGTATGTATGTATGTATGTATGTATGTATGTATGTATGTATGTATGTATGTATGTATGTATATACAAGTATGTATGTATGCATGTATGTAATGTATGTATGTATGTATGCATGTATGTAATGTATGTATGTAATGTATGTATGTAATGTATGTATGTATGTATGTATGTATGTATGTATGTATGTATGTATGTATGTATGTATGTATATACAAGTGTATGTATGCATGCATGCATGCATGCATGCATGGATGTATGTATGTATGTATGTGTGTATGTATATGTATATGTATATGCATATGCATATGTCTATGTATATGTATGTATATGTATATGTATATGTATGTATATGTAAATGTATGTGTATGTGTATGTATGTATGTCTGCCTGTCTGTCTGTCTGTCTATGTATGTATGTATGTAAGTAAGTATGTATGTATGTATGTAAATCAATTATATACATTTAGATATATATATATATATATATATGTGCATATCACCAGTCATAGAGGTGATATCCCAACTTATGGACTCATTACCATGCCAATGGTTATCTCCAGGTTTTCCACCCCAACCGCACTCATGGAAACCTATGATTTTGGGGATACCCCTGAACCCCCCATATGTACATATGTACATATATGTGCATAGTTTTATATACACAGCTACTTATCTTGCTGCATCTTGCAAAATATCTGTGTCATATATAGCTGGTTGGTGGTTTTAACCATCTTGAAAAATATGAAAGTCAATGGGAAGGATTATCCCATATATCATGGAAAAAACATGTTTGAAACAAACACGTTGTACCGCTTTGTGCGTCGCGCTGTCTTAGGTCTCTGCTTACCATCGTTTGAAACCACCAACCAGATAGCTATATATAGCTTAACATCAGCTTACAAGACAATTCGGAATTCACATCCAGGTCATCCAGGCGATACGCCTTTCCCTTCATGCTCTTTCCCTTTCCCTTCATGGGC